TATATATATATATATATATGCTATATATATATATATGCTATATATATATAAATTAGTGAATGTAAACATCAAATTTAAAACTAAAAGCTTTGAACTTGTTGACACTTCCAACAAATGTAAATGAAAACTCGATTGTTATTTTAGGGAGACTGACACTCAGAGGAAGTGAAGGTGATTATTGTTTACTTATCAATCATACTTACTTTGACATGAATACAGACATCCTGCATAAAAGAGCTTAGTTGCCTTTTCCACCACAAAAACCTGATCCACTGTACAACTCTCCGATTTCTTTGTTATTTATTACAAGGAAAAGTGATAGTTTGTTCTTGTATTACCTCAGAATCCATCTTATAATATTGATCCTCACAGATCTTCTCATCCATTCGACCAAACCTCAGGTGTTACAGTGATGCCACTGCAGATACAGGAGGAACTCCAGGCTGTTAGTCTTTTCTATTCGGGTTTCAAATGAACGTCTTCCTGCTGCCAACAGAAAGCAGCAACTCTGGTGATCCATATAAATCTCTAGCAGATTCATATAGATCACTTTCGGATGTGGATATGTCATCTGATCGGACTGAATCAATTTGAGAACATAATCATTATGATCACTATTAAAAGTAATAAAAAAAACAACATCATTGTTGTCTAGTAGTTTAGTAGTAGTCTAGTTTTCACTTTATTTATTTAGACATTTAGCTCTAGTGTGACCTGAATAAAATATATCTTTTCACTTATGCACGTACGGTATGTCCTTCTTCAGGTCTGTCAGGACAGAAGAGCCGATGTGGGGGGACGATGAGGACTTCTCTGAGCATGATTACTACAACAGCATCCCGGGGAAGGAGCCTCCTGTTGGGGGAGTGGTGGACTCCAGGCTCAGGCCCAGTGGAGCCCTGCTGGGCCACATTCACACCCAACCACAGAGCAAGACAGCAGCACAGGTGAATCTCCAGCCATGAATTCAGAAAGGTCAGATTCTAGATGATTCTTGTGCGGCATTCTGTGCGGCATAGTTCTTTTCCCTTTACACTAATCACCACCGACTTTGCCAACACTGCCAAACATGTAAGCGTGAGATGCAACCTCACCACGGATGTAATCGAAGCTACATCTGCTCATCATCAAGAAAATGCATGATTAACCTTTATCAGACAATGACAGCCAGACTCAAGCTAAACGCTTTGATACCTCACTCATAAACTGGTGATTGATATGTTTTCCTGCTTCTTCCCTGTATTGTTTACATGGAATTAAACAGTAGGAGCACGGAAATATACTCCATAACTCTTTTCCTGATGTGCCTGCACTGTAATTGCCAAAGATAGATATGATTAGATAAAGAGGCTTGGCCCGTCCGGGTGAGAGAAATCATTGCTCTCTCCCTGCAGCTCGTTCAAAATATGGTGACATACTATAGCTAATGTTTCAAATAGAGTGCTTCAAAACTACATTATGTAGGGACAAGACATGAGGGAGATGTCCATTCAGGTATGGTGATACAAATGTATTTAGGATGTGTTCTTCTGGTGTGTATGTGGGTTTGCAGATGGGCTCTCCAGCAAGGAGGGAGCAAGCATCTTATCCCCCTGGTCAGCTGTGCTATGAACTTCACTGGGACACCGAGACGACCAGCAGCTCAGGTGAGACACCCTGTGGTGGTACACAGATATAACATCTAGGGGGGTAAAACATGCTCACCAGTTTTTAGTTGATACAAGCTTTGTCATTTAGTAGGCTTTAAGAGAATAAACTGAAGGTTTTTGGGTGGTTTGTGGTTTGTTTAGAGTTTGGTGACCTATTGAGGTACAAGTCAGGTCATCACTGAATTCTGTGCCCTTACTTACCCTCTGGCAAAAACAGCATTTGGACCCTTTTCAAGATCACTCTGATAGAATTAGGATTCTTGGGTTTTCTTCTTTGGGATTCTTTTTAATCAGTATGATTAAATGCCAGATGCCAGATAAAAGACTTGTCATCTGTCATCTTTGATAGGAGGGAGGCTTGGAGTGTCCTCAAGATTCTCTGAATTCCATTTGGATTATTACCATAGTTAATCTTGAGAAATGACTTTAATTAACTTTGTGGAGGAATTTAGTGCAGACCACATTATTCTTTTCAGGAAACAGTATTTGTTTGCACAGATTTCTGTAATAGTCTCTCTCTATAAGTGCTTTATTTGATTTTTATAGCATTACAAAACAACATTAATAAGGTATTCAGCAGTTATTTTATCATTTAAAAATGTAACTCATTCTACATACCACCTTCCACCAGATTTATAGAATATAGTTTGTTTTAACATTTCTTTTTTAGAAAACTAAAACAATTAAATGGCAAGTATTCTTTACTATAGAAATGATTGGTCTTCAACCTTTGCTGTGGATTATAAACATTAGAAAAGGGATTTAGCAATACAGCATTATTGAAGTAAGAATATAGATAACCAAGTTTAAATTATCTACCAAATATTTCAATCAATCAACTTTGTTTATACAGTATATATTAGCTTTCCTTCACATTAGTGCAGTTCAAAGTACTTGAAATGAACTGCAAAAATCATTGTTAATGGTCCAAAAATAAGCTAATGGAAGTTATAATACAGTAATAAGAAAAATTACATATTCATTAAAAATCATTACAAATTTTGTTTTGGCATTTTACTTTTATTAGACAGTCACTAGTGAAGAGGCACGCAGGAAACAAGTAAGGAGAAAGGAATTCAAACCATGACTATTGCAGTTATGTGGTATGGTCTGTAACCATTTAGCTACCAGGGCTCTTAAGAAGCGGCCTTCTTATTGGTGGCTACATATAATTGGTTTAAGATTATGACATTAGCAATACACGTCCACTTCAGTACATACTGCAACTGGTTTAACTGTCTTAGTTTATTCATATGATTCAAGTTGTGATTTCCACCACTAGACGGGGCCATAAGAACATAAATTTGTTGATGACACACACACAAAGATATCCGTATGTCCAGACAGGAGTCTGAAATGTGTTAAGAGCAGATGTGTCTCTCAGGTCTGACATCAGATGGCTACCTGTGTGCTGATGGACAGCCACCAGGCAGCAGAGATTATGAGGAGCATCAGTACGTTAACACCCAGACTCTGGAAAACCTGGATTCACGGGGGCCCGAAGGACACAGAGGGGCCAGGGTACCCGACAGTCCCAAAAAGGACCTCTTTGACATGAGTAAGTCCAGAGAGTTGGTGTGACACATTATGACACAGCAAAGATGAACTCACTTCTTTTTTTTTTTTTTTTTAAATACTGTAGTCACCACACTTGTAACTGTGAAACATCACATCCCTGTAGGGCCCTTCGAGGATGCCCTGAAGCTCCACGAGGCCTGTGGTGGAGCTGTTGTTTCCAGTATGTCTGCTGCAGCTGGAGGTGTCCGGGTTCTGGAGGACCAGTGGCCCAGCCCTCCACGCCGTCGAGCCCCAGTGGCCCCAAATGAGGAACAGCTCCGCAGGGAGACGTGGTACCACAGCCGCATGAGCAGACGGGACGCAGAGAGACTGCTGGTCCGAGATGGAGATTTCCTGGTCCGGGAGAGCACTACCAACCCAGGACAGTATGTGCTAACTGGCATGCACTGTGGCCTGCCCAAACACCTACTGCTGGTGGACCCAGAGGGGGTGGTGAGTAATGCAGCAAACAAGCAACAGCTTAGATATGTTTGCCAGTTGTCAAAGTTCATACTAGTCTTATATAAAAACTAACTGATCTGAACTGAAACCATCTTTTGTCCTCCACACAGGTCCGAACCAAAGACATGTTATTTGAGAGTATTAGCCACCTTATCTCATACCACCTAAAGAATGAGCTGCCTATTGTGGCAGCAGAGAGTGAGCTCCACCTCAAACAGGTGGTCAGGAGGAAACAGTGAGCCACTTGACCCTGCATGGGACGGTAAGTGTGCAGTATACTACGTATGTGTGGGATGTCTAAAATGATTTAATGATTAAAAATGATATCAGGGAGGCAGTGGATGCTAAACCTTAATTTGCATTTTAAAATACCGTATGAGTAGATTGGTGTAGATCCTATCAAATGTGCATGTTTTAAAGAAAATATAACTGGTTGTTGTTCACCTTGTGTGGGTACACTTTTTACACTTTTTTATGAACTACAGTGAATGTCAGCATTATATTTCTGCATGCAATAAACTGACAGATTATCTAGTGCCAGACATATGACTATTGTATCTAGAAGCCTAAATAATGACTGTATTGACCTGTAATCTGTGCTTTCTTTGTCTACTATACTTTACAGCTGAATTCCTGCACTCCCATGGAAAAACCACAGAAAAAAAACCAATATGGAGTCCTCTATCCCAGATGGATATTTATCTGGAATAAAAGATCTCACTAATACTTTTTTCCATAAACAATTTTACTAAGGAGAGTGAGGCATCTGACATCCCTGTACTTTCTCTGCCTCCTGCCTACCAGGATCAACTAAACTATCTCTCATCTGTCACAAACTCCTCACCATGCAGATATTATAAGCTAACAAACCAACCAGAATCCACAGTTTGACTCATTTCAGAGCATTGTCAACTGATGTCAATAATTAAAGCAACGACTGTTTGAAGAGGACCCAACTTCAGGAAATCAAATAAGGATTTGATGCACAGAGACGTAATGTCCGACAATGCCTGTAATAGTGAAGTGCTTCCAGTAGACCACAGCTTCCTGACCTGTCTGTCTACAGGCCGTCCACCGAACAATAATGGACATCGCCAGAACAAAACTGTCTTATAATCTGGTACAGATACTGTATTAAAAAATCAAAAGATGTTAGGTTATTCAGTAGCTCATTTCTGTTTAAATGCAAGAAATGAAAATACTGTGACTATAAAAGACAAGTGAAGAAATGTCTGTTTCATGGGAATGTAAAGACTGTTTTGTTTGTTGCTACATGTTGACAGGTCTGCAGTACCTGACTCTGATTTGGCACAATGGAAACACACTGGACATGATTCAGTGCTGGATTTATAAAACAGCCACACATTCTTCTGCCTTTTTTTTGTTTTGTTTCTCCATGATAATCAAGGTTTTAAAAAAATCATGCATTCATACTATCTTCATATAGACAGCCAAGCGGACATACGTTACATTGTCTTGAAAATGGGAAGTTTGATCACATTTACCATTAATATCAGTCATTTGTCTTGTGTTTCTAAGGGCTGTTCATAATTTGTTAAAGACATACTGTATGTGTTGTATAAGCCTGTGAACATTATTGGTCAGACTGTACTCAAATCAATTCTATGTCCTCGGTTAAAACTACTCTGCATACAAACTCAGTATATCCACGCCTGTTTTTCCACAACTTCAGTGCCTTAATAACTACAGAGACAGGCATTTGTGTCAGAGTGTATATAATGTGTATTTATGCTCTCAACGCAAAACACTAGTTTTCTTGCCATGCCAACAAATGACTGAACAAACTTCAGGATGATTAAGCTCTTATTCCTGTGAACAGTCACGTAAGCTGCTCTTGTTATACTTGTAATACTGTCTTATTGTGTCATGGCTGTCATTGTTTTTATGTGCGTCCCTCACAACAATCTCCTAAGTGAATCTTTTTGTTCTTAGAGGCAAGCCATAGATAGCACTAGTCTACAGTGATTGATGTTAAAGACGGGGGAATTTTGACTTGAAATTAAATCCTTTATTTGTCCAAGTTCAGGAGAATACATCACTTTATAGATTGTCCTTATCCCACGTCTGAGTCTTTACATGTCAGTGACTTGCTCATGTATTTCTGCTCCTTGGCTCCAGTTTTCTACCTAATTCTTTGAAATCTTACTAGAGGTTAGTCATATGCTTTTTGCATTTGTCTCATTAGCAACATATCTTTAATCAGGCCCTCCCCTGTCCTTAGCTGCAGCCTCAAGAATGCACAGAGATGCGGTGAGCTACAAGGCGTTTGGTGAGGTCCAAATGATTAATGTAATTATTACAGATCTCCTTTTTGCTTTCTCAGGAATTTCTTGGATCTTTTTTCTCTTTAATTGACTTTAATGCCTTTTGTCAATAAAACTATCTGGAAAAAGAAGTACAATTCAGATGGTATTTTGTCATTTGTGAGTCTAATATAGCAGCACCACAGTTAAACCCAGCTGTCCGACTTTCCGTGCACACATGCTACAGCCAAATTAAGACTTCAGATTTCCATCGACCAAAAATAGATGTGAGGAACAGTTTGGAAGATGTGGTTTGTTCAATCTACAGTATCGGTGTACAAAGAACAGGAACAACAGACGAGATGTTTGTTTCTCATTTTTATTATAACAATATAATATAAAATCAATAGGCTTGTCACACAATCAATGCACTTGATTCTATCTTCTAAATAACGACTCTCTATTCAGATTCAATTTCTGCTACCATAAACCCCTGACTTATAGGCTGCTGTCATTTCAGTTATCCAGCCATGAAGGCACTCTACAATTCTATTTTCTCCCTGTTTGATTATCAGTAAAGCCTTAAGGCTGTTGTTTAAGTTTACTGTATTGAACACATGCAGCTACTGTATGTCTGAACAGTTGTATTTGGCTTTCTAGACAAGGTCTCAACAATGCTGGTCCCACAGGTTGCTATGCTGGAGCTGTTATATGCTGACCTGTAAAGGGACTGGAGGTGTAAAGAGGCTTGCAGATGGTTCAGTGTCCCTGCTGTGACATCCTCAGGATTTGGAGTAACAGTCCCTGTACTTCTTCATCCATTCGGCCCTGTTGGGCAGCAAACACCAAAGTAAGAAAATTAAAGTTCTACATTGTACTTCACATTTGTTCCACAGGCAGACCCCCTATAATGGTCATCCTTGTAGAAAGGCAGACTGAAATCTGCAGATTTGGCCAAGGACAGAAAAAACTCTGTCTCTGACCTCCATCAAGAGGGGGCAAGGCAAAGTGTGTGAAGAACTTACTAGAAGAGAGATTAACCTCACTGGATAGCCTACTCAATACTCAACCATGCCCCAAATCAGAGAGAAGCTTGGAAGATTAAAGCACAAAACATGTACAGGTGTTAACATCAGATGAGGGCCGCATGTCTGGTCTGGAAAACTGGTAACTGCAATGAAAACCTCTACCTGCCAAAGTGCTTTTAAAGGTCACCAATACCTGAACAATGTCTCATTACAACCAACATTACAAAAAGAAATAGCTAATGTTTAGTCTTAGTAGTGGAATATGATGAAACTGATAGAACCAGAAAGTGAGCCCCTTTTCCCTGCAGCTCTTCTGAAATTTCATCCACTTTGTCTGGTAAGCAGAGATGGTTGACAGATTAGTCCTGCTCTTTATTGTCTGCACCACAAAGGGGACACACTCAAATCCAGCAGTCAGTCAGTGCTATTCACAGTGCAGGCTCTGAGTGACTGTTCAGCTAGTCAAACATAGAAAATGTCACTGATCCACCCTGAGACAGGAAATGGACAAGACCATAGGATCAAGTGCACACATACACACATGGAAATCCTAAATAAAATGAACTCATTACATCTCATAACAAAGATTTAAGTCTTAATTTGCACTCTGGCATTCAACTGACCTGGACAGCTGCCAGTAAATGGGAACGGTATATAGCCACCACCTGTTTGTGCTTTCTCTCCCAATCCTGCAACAAGACCACAGAAAATGTCATGTGAATATTTAAGTGTAATTTTTACAGATAATGATCATAGATATTGCTAAAGAAAAAAGTATTTTGGAAATCACAATATCTTTTCTAACATCACACATCCCTGGTGTCAATGTTCTCCTCACCTGCAGCTGCTGGGTGAGTATGGCGATCCTGTTCTGCAGTGCCATTTGCTGCCCAGGGTTACCATGATGGGTAGATGAGGAGGAGGATGAGGAGGTGATGCCCAGAGGAGGTGACAGAGCTCCCAGGGCCTCCTTTAGCCGAAACACCTCCTTGGACAGCTCTGTTATCTGCGCGAAAGACAGAGACAGTCAGTTTGGCCACCTCATGGGTGCTTCAACAGCACTTGTATTAACTGGCCTTCCAAACTGTCACCTTGCGGTCCTTCTCCTTGACCAGGCCCTGGGATTCCTGGATGTCCTTGTGGAGCTCCTGGATGTGGTTGGATTGGGACTGTAACTCGGCTAGCTGCTGCTGCACTGTGGCCAGCTGGGACTCTGCAACCTGTCGCTCACTCTTGTTAAAGAGAGCCTCCCTCTGCACCTGGAACACCTAGACCAGTAAAACCACCAGTGGCACCCTGTCACTACAGCAAGGGGGTCTATATTTGGTTATGTCTCCAATTCAGATGCTTTTTGCTTATATATAAGTGGCAGCAGAACACAGACAGGGTCATACAGACAGAAATGCATGCTTGCAGATCAAACACATGTTCCCTTGTAGAAAAGCTTCTCCACTATTTTGCTGTTTATTTGCCTTTAACCTTTACATAGTAAAATCTCAGGCTATACTTTGTCTTGTTTCCTGATTTGGTGGATGAACATAATATAATAATTCCCATTTTCATTTTCTCAGCATCTCTCAAATATCTATTCCCAAAACCACTGAGCCCGAATCTCTGAGATCTTTGCTCACGGGAATTTTCCGTTTCCCTTTGATCTTCATATACCCACCCAAGAGTACAAACAAATGCAGTAAATTAAGCTACAGTAAATCTATACACATTTGCTTTTGGTAGCATGTTCAACTGTGTTTTTATTCCAGGGAAATTCCAGGCACTTCATAATATTACCAGCACAAATTTACATGCTAGTGTATCACAAACACTTGGATTTGGGTTCCAAAAGCCCTTCTTAAGAAAATGGGCCCTCTTATCAATCTATGTTCGCCAACCTGAGTCAGAGAGGCAATTACCCATCTTACAAAGTGAGACTTCTTTTATATCTGAATGTCACTACACAGATGGAGGGGAAATTACTTTTGGTACTTTTTTGTTTCACCATGAGCCTATAGTGCACATACAAGGCTACTTCAGTGCATCAGTAAGCAAATATACAGAGGGATCAATGAAACAGGGAGGCACTGAATAGAGAAAGTAATACACATATGAATAATGTAGAGGCAGGAAAGAGGCCTTCATGGAACACAGCTCACTTTGTAGCAAACACAATAACATCTAATGTGGCTTTAGATGGCATTAGAAGGGAGAAGGCAGACACAATGACACATCACGTCATGCGTACACACCTCAGTGCAGGTCTTCTCATGTTTGCGAGTGAGATCGTTGAATCGGGCTGTGGCGGCGTTGATCTCAGCCTGCAGAGAGAGTCGCAGGGCCTCATGGTCCTCCTTGGAGATTAGACCCTGTTCTGCAGCCTTCTGGGACTTCAGCTCTCTCAGCTCCATCTCCTTCTCACTCAGAGCCTCCTGAGCTGCTGCTGCACTGCTCTCACTGGCCTGCAGAGAGCACTGGAGTTCTGCCTAAGATGCAGGAAGCACAAGGATTACTTCATACAGTAACAGTTATGACAAACTTATTATCAGAATGTACTCTTAAGAAACACTGAAATGTTGTTTTTAACACCTGTTACTGACACACAGGGTACATGACTAGGGTTGACAACATTTTCCTCCATCTTAAGTTAAATAAATCCTGTAACAACCCACTGGATTATCAGAAATATGCATTGTCACAAAGCTTAAAACTGTGCTGATCTGTTATTTTATGCTTTTAACCCTTTCTGGATTATAATTTATTTTAGTCCTACCTAGTAACCCTAAACATTAGACATTAAATCATGATAAATGATTCATGTTGTACTCCCCTGTCAATTTAAACTAGACAACCCACTGGAAACACCTAAAATCAGATGCTACAAATAATACAAACAATATTAGCTGCTTTAAATTGTGTTCCCTTTCAAAAAGTCTTTTACAAATAGTGAACAATTTATATTCTGAGAAATCTCAACTAAGGGTCAGCCATTTCAGGGTGAAGAATCTGGGATGACTCTGCCTCCTCTGGATAATTTTATTGATGAAGCAGGAGCATGTAATACAATGAGTAATGCCCTAACTTGAAGAAGTAGTAACATTTCATCTTTTAATAACAACCATGTCCTCTGTCTGAGTTTGTACCTCACCCCTATTTCTAATTTTGCTCTAAAATACAGCTGACCTTCACTTTCTCATGCTCCTCTTTGGGTATGGCATCCTGCATGGCCTGTAGTTGGCCCTCTAGTTTGGCAGCCTGCTCCTCAGCCTGACCACGAAGGGTCTTCTCCTCCTGGAGCTCCTGCAGGGTCTGAGCTAGCTGTTCTGATACTGCAGACAGCGCTTCCTTATGTTTTGAGAGCGGTACTGCGTCTTTCAGCTGCAGGGCGTCCTGTGCCCGGCCCTCCCGCTCAGCACACAGACAGTCCAGAGCCTGGGCTGCTTCTTGCCTCGCCACCTCCAGTTCTTCTCTCACGGCTGCCAGGGAGCGTCTGGAGTTCTCTGATTGGACAGAGACATGATCGTTCACAAAATGGACAGAAAAGTCAGTCATTTTAACTTTTTTTCTCTGGAACCCAAAATCTTAAAAGTAGAAAAACAACAACACTGCACACCTGAGGGCTCTGAGCTCTCTGAATGCTCCTCCTCTTCTTCCTCCTCTTCATCATCTCCGCGTTGAGGAGGCCTGAGTCTCTCCAGATCCAGGAGAGCATCGTTGAGCCTTCTAGCCACATCCGCCCTCTCCCTGGCCAGCTGCTCACACTGGAGCCCCAGAGTCACCTGCACCTCCTCCAACTCTGAGCGGGGCACGCACTTTCTCAGCTCCCCCTCTAGCTCTCCCAAACGCTCCTGGAGACGACGGACCTGATCTCCATCTCCTGCTGATCCTCCCTCTTTCCCCGACGTCCTGCTCCCTGCCAGGGCTGCCTCTAACTCAGCCACTTTGTTAAGGAGGCACTTCACTGTTTCCGTCTCTTCTTCACCGTCTTTCTCCCCTTCTTGTTTTGTAGACTCTTTTCGTGCCAGAGCAGCACGGAGTTCCTCTACTTGCTCCGTCAGCTGTTTGATTGTGTCACTGTCCTGGCTGCTCTGACCCCCTGCCTCACCCTCTCTCTTTGCTAGCTCCTCCTCTAGCTCCGT